CAATGCGTGCTGTAAAAACGAGATTCAGTCACAGACTTACCAGGGAAGATAGATCAACAAACACCTGGGATGGGAGCCTCCCTAAATGATGGTTGGCCTTGTGGCTTCTCCTTAAAACGAATCTCTAAGGATTAATTCGGACAGCACTAATCAGGGCCGGTTCCCTTTTTGTCTTGATTATCTTTCATTTGTGGGTTCTCTGAGTAGTAGGGTCCTGGCCTCTGGATGAAAACTCCACTCCGCAGTCAACATTATAGGGGAAGCAGGACACTAAAACCGTTTTCAATCGAACAGTTGGACGGTCTATCTGGTTAGCCACTAGATGGCAGAGGCTAATGACCGCATGAAGCCAGCGCCATTCAAGCATGGCCCGAAAGCAACACCTATACTGCCTACGGTTCCAGTGGCCAGGGAGAACGTAAAGGCCACTTGTGTCTTGGTTTTGTTGGCTCCAAGGGAAACCCATTCCAAACCAATTCTGGGCGACCTCCAGTCGACAATCTTCAAGGCCGCAAACTTTTCGCTGGCAGGGTTCCCCTCAAAGCAACGCCCTCCAGCCACTTCGTTGCAGGGACCCCTCCAAAAACGAAAAGCAACTAGGCGCTCCAGTGACAGGTGTCAGCTCCGGCCTCTGGACGCTCCGCCCTGCCGAGCTGAAAATGTCGGAGTTGTCTGTTTGGTGCTCCGAAAGTTGGCCCTAGGCTTCAACCCCCATGAAAAAAATGGTTGACCCAAATTAGAGTCATAAATGGTGGTTGTATTAACCCCCATCTTAATGCTATGAACCGCAGGGTTGGGCTTACCAATTCATTTTGCTCTCGGGGCGACTCAGCTTGTTGGCTGTATGATTGAAACAACGGGGCTCTCAGAAACTCTCAGAAACTCCTCCTCTCTTACCAGGGCCTGCAAGGGAACCTAACCTTGATGCTATATGCCCGCTTGCAAGCCTGGTTTCTCAAGGATCTTCATGTTGCTGGTTTCTCACCAGAGATAGAAGAGCTAGCGGCAACCACACCCTGACAGCTAAGAAGACGAAATCCAAGTGGTCAATCCCGAGTTGCAAGCAGGAAACGGGCCACTATATCTTCCCCCTAGACATCACCCCAGGAAGCTTAGCACACACGGGGGTTTTGTTAGGCGTGAAAGAACAGGGAAGGGCCAACTGTTCCAACCTTGTTGAGACAGCACTGGCCTCATTATTTGACCATGATCAAAGTCATCCCCTAAGTGGTGGGTTGAGGGAAACAACCCCATTTTCTGACTTTGATAACCCCCAGAACCCGTCAAAGCAATGACCCCAGCAGCAATGGTCCGGGGTGCTGCCTGGGCAGCTGTACCTCGGACCTCGTCGAGAAAAAAAAAAAAACAGGTTCTGGGAGGGCTCCGCAAGAGTCTGCGAAGTGGCGCAAACCAAACAAGCAGGAAACTAGGCTGGAATTAGGACCCCAGCAAACAAATATACATCATTTTTGCCTGGTTAGTGGAAAACAAAGGGACCCCAAAAAAAGCCCCCCCAACAAAAAAGGGGAGCTAATTCTGGAAGGAGAAAGGTTCCGCAGAACCATCAGTCAAATTCCAAAGTCAATATCTGGCATCATGCCCAATGGTTGCCTAACTCGCAAGGCAAAAACACTTTGTGGAAGTTCCGTGGTACCGCGGCTATCCAGCGCCGCTCCGCTTCCCAAATTTGTGTGACTTGTCAGCAATGTAAAGGAGTTTTGAGGGGGCTCAGGGGCTGGTTAGCCTAACCAAGAGGATTATCAATGAGGTTCTGCAACATTTCATTTCGTGTCCAAGCCCCTCGCTTGTGGTTTCCTGTGGAAACAATGAAACATTATAGGCTGATTAGCACCCAGCCCACCCGTTCAATCAACACAGGCTCGTGCCCGGTGATTTTTCAATACCGCCTTTTGGGCGGCACGAGCAAAAGGAAACCACGTGATGTGTTTGAACGGAGATCATGTCTCGTTTCGGAGCTGGTACCCTATCGAAAAAGAGTGTACTACGGGAAGTCTAAAGGGAAACCACCTACTTCGGGGTTGAACACGAAATGGCGAGGGGAAAGCCAATCCATCCTGAAAGAACTTTCATCTACTTGTGCGGCAAACAGCACAAATAGGGAAGCCGCCTGTTTTGTTGTTTCTTTCTGGAGAAACACCCTCGACCCATCAGGACTTCAGGTAGACCGAAAAACACATACCACACCAATCGACAGGGAACCCGCCTATAAGTTGTTGGGTCTTCAAAGGGAAACCAGGGTGTCTGTCATGAGGGATCCCCTGGAAATAGGTGGTTTCCTTTATCACATAATCCCTTTTGGGGGGTTCCCGCAAAAAAAGAATAAGCTCAGGTGATATCCCCAACAGCATTCAGTGCTCTTTTTAGTGCTCGCACTACCCCGCAGCCCTCGCAGAACCTCGTGGAACCCTCGTGGAACCCTCGTCAGCTGTTGGGGAAAAAGAAAAAGCCAACCCATCGTTGGAGCCGAAGCTTGGCTCCGAGTCTTGCCTCTGGACCTCCTCGAGCTCAGGAGGTGCCTCTTCGCGTCGCTGTGGGCTTCAGAAGTCGGGTGACCAATTCGTAGGGGCGCAACCGCAAATGGGCGTGTCGTTTTTTAGGGGTTCCCCCTCCAAATTGTGGTTGTCCCCTTTAAAACGTCTGAAAGAGAGGTCCTACATATTTGAAAGACACAAACAAAAACACTGATCCAAATAGGGTCCGACAGGTCGGCTGTGGGAAAAGGACAACATGATCGCCCAGACCTCCGGAGTTGCATGGGAAGGGCACTCTGCCCAAGGCTCCTTTCTTTGTTTTTGGGGGGAATGACAATGTGTTGTTTTCAAGGGCCCTGACAGGTCGGAGTTCTTAGCAGGCCCAAAGGTCTGCGTACAGAAGAGCCGGGTTCAAAAGGGACCCCATGTTGCTCGCCTCCTGGAAATGAACATGAAACCCAAGGGCCGTGTATGGTTCCTGGCCCGTTTGTTTTCCAATGGATTTGTTCTTTGGGACATTCAGCTTCGCCTTACCTGCAGGTTGATGGGCCCAAAACAAATGTTGGCAGTAGACCCCAAAAAAAGGATTCCTGCTCCATTGTTGCCAAAATGTGACAACTGAAACGGCAGATCCAGTCGATTCATTTTCGTACTTGTGTAGGGCATGGGTCCGTGGGTCCGTGTCCGTTTTCATCCATAGCTCCTTTCAACTGGCCGCTTCCCCCTGGTTGTTGGGTCTTCTGAGAGATTCGGACGCCTTGGAAACGGGGGTCCTTGGCGACGGGACCCCTGCCCTTTCCTGGCCCTTCCACTTCCCAAGGGGTGAACCACCCACGCTAAGAAGGTTGACCTGGAACGGGATTCAAGGACATCCTTGACATGAACCTCGTACTGTGGATGGACAAAATCCTGCCACCACCTGAGAAACACTGGAATGATAACCTGGAAACACTGGAATCAACAATGGTTTTGCATGTTTTCAAAGTGTTGCAGGATTTTGTCCATCCACAGTATTGCAAAGGTAAACAATGTTTAAGAAACAAGAACACTTGCGCACCACTGGCCATCCAAACAAACGTGGGAATATGTTCACGCAATTTGGGCGAGGTGCAAGGAATGACTCTTCGGACTGATCTGGGTCTCAAATTTGGAGACAGCCGGTTCCGGATGGTTTTCGAGGGAAAGTCAAAGGGAACCATCCGTTTTTTCAGCTTCGGTCCCCCAATTTTGCGCCCATCAGCACACCAACCGCCAGAGCGGGCCTCAGGGCAGTCGGGATGCTCCTGGCTTTGACAAAGGGCGCGGGTTTAATCCTTGAGTGTACCCTTTTTGGGGTCGCTTTAAGGGCGCAAGGGGAGCATCCAAGCAAAAAAGCGCAAGCAAGTCCAAACACTTCCGAATCTTGTGTGCCCCCATAAAGAGTTGAGGATGGAGTCTTTAAAATTGGGGTCTACCAAGGCCTTGTCGACCTGACGGAAACCTGGGGTTAGCATCTGCAAGCCCCCCCCCCCCTCGCACACACACACACACACAAAATGCACACGCTCCCAGCCTGAAGGATATAAGACATTCAGAAGTCGGGTCATCACGGGGCCCGGATTCTCTCTGCGTCTCCCCGGAGCGTTCGGGGGGAATTGGTCGCCATGACTAACATTCAAGCAACCATTTATCATTTCGAGGAGTGCCTAGAAAGCAATCTATGTCGCACCAGTTGGTTGGTGTGCTCACTTCCCGAGTGGATTGGACAAAACAAACAACTTGTTATTGACCACCAAAATGGTCTTCCCAAAAAGTACAAAGTTGAGAAACTCAGGAAGTGAGTTTGCGGGGTCTGTTTTTGCAATAGGGGCCTTTAAGGGGAACCCCACTTTAGGAACGGCATCATACATTGTATCTAGAGGGTATGACGCACATAAGATGTCTTTTCAGAAATCTGTAGAATCAACACAACTGGTATCAATCGAAAACAATCTGGAGGTCTCAAGAGCGCAAAAGGACTACCTTGGACCCCTGCTAATGGGACTCGTGATTGGGCGCTATGTTTGTTTCTCAAAATTAAAGTCCGCTCCAGCACCCTCCGACTACCGTCTTCTGTTTTCGGAACTACCGGGCAGTACTTCCGAAAATAACATAAAATACAGTAATCCGCTATCTACGGTCGTTTCACGTTGTCCCAAACAGTAAAAGACAAGCCCACGGGGTGACACGGTGACACGGGGGCGACACGGCGGCGACACGAAGGCGACACGGGGTGACACGCAGGTGACACGGGGCGACACGGGGGCGACACAGGGTGACACGCAGGTGACACGGGGCGACACGGGGTGACACGCTAAAACTACTGTTGTTCGCAGCGATCTACTGTTGTTCTAGCATACTGACACGGGGGCGACACGGCGGCGACACGAGGGCGACACGGGGTGACACGCAGGTGACACGGGGTGACACGGGGGCGACACGGGGGTGACACACAGGTGACACGGGGAGACACGGGGTCACACGCTGTGA